GAGAATGATGAAAATTATAAAGTTGAGCACCATTTACTCGTGGAAATGGGTAAATATGGGTCAACTGTTTTTTACCCAACCCGTTTGTCCGCCAACCCACTTTTACCCTTATGAAATATGCACGGGTTGAATTATTACCCATTTTATGTTGACCCGTTTTCAACCCACCCAAATTTGACCCAGCTCGCCCATTTGCCACCACTAATCTCCACCATAGACTCATGAAATGAATAGCCTGAAAACAAAATTCATCTATAGATCCTGAACCAGTCTGGTCTTCCCCAACTCGTCTCGGTAATAGAGATAAGAATGCATCTTGATATCTATATCCTAGAACTGAAAGATGATCAAGAAATTTTATAGGAACAAGAAGGCAAAGTGGCATCCCACTATACTAAGTTAACTACACGACTTCATTGATCTTCAATTTCCTTCTTCCTCTGTGAGCTTATCAGTCACAAAGAAACACTCATAACGAACAGAAAGCATGAACCAAAAGGAGCTAGAAAGCACAAGGCTTGAAAATACAATCAACCTGATTGACTTGATCAAGTTTGCTAATGATGTTGAGGCGCACATCAGGAAACTCATCCTTCAGAAGAGAAAGAAAAATTGGAAGAAGATGTTCAATGGTTGCATCCTGCATGAAATATAAAATGAATTCGATAAATTCATTGTCAAAGATCAAAAGAAGGTACACAAACTAGGGAAGAAACCAAACACAAAAATCTCTTTGACCGCACCTGTTATATTATGATAAGGTAGCGGAACTTTACCAATCAAAATCCAAAATGTATAGAAGATGCATTGCCTAAAAAATAGTTTGTTTGCCAAGCTCTTTAAATCTGCTTATTTTGATAAGCACTTTTTGTCAAATGGTGCTTTAGAAAAAGCACTCGGAGATTACTACGTTAGTGTTTGGCAAAATCACTTAAAGAACTTTTTCCCAGAAACTTAGTTAAACAACATAAATCTCCAAGATAAGCACTTCAAAAGAATCACTTCTAATTTTCAATAAGTTTGGCCAAACAGGCTCATAAGAAGAGAAAGCATCATAAGGAAAGTGAAGAAAATTGAGAACCAGGTTGATGCATCCAACTGTGCACATTCAAGCTTAATAGACCCATTAAACAATGTGTGTGATAAGATGATTTATAGAAATATGTTGTATCGCAGAGCCAGAAAAAAATAAAGGATATATATACAAATTGCGTCATACAAATAAAGAGCAGAACCTACTTAGATCTCATCATAGAATTTGACCTCCCAGATCATACTGGTCTTTTTTGTCCTCCAAAAAATAGATTCTTTTAAAAGGTCCAACATAGTTATGTTACCTAGAGCATTACAATGCAAAAGCTTCCAAAAGTTAACTTATATGCAAACGCTATCATCTAAAGCAGTGCATATTGCAAGTAACTAAAATTCTTAGTTGCGACAAATCCAACAAGTATCACGGTAAGTTCTACAACTTGACAATGTTGTGTATATCAACATATGTAGCAAACATAAATACGTGATTAATATTTTCTTGTCTGAATTCTACAATAAAAATCAAGAAAATGTTCAATCACCTTTCCCAGGACAGGAGCCATCCCCATTATAACAGAAGCCAAAGCAGATCTAACATGCTGCGATGAGTCGGATGACAATTCCTATAACATTTAAAACTCAATTACATATTAGGAACAGTTGGAACAAAAGCTGTAATTAGAAGTTCCTTAACAGGTAAACTAAGATGTATTTACCTTCACACACGGAAGAATATGCTGTATAGAAAGCTCAGGACTAAGAATCTGACTGAATTTGGTGGTTTTCCCTGCAGCAGCTATACGCACTTCCGCTTCATTATCCCGCAGCAAACGCACATAAGCAGGAACCAAGTCCGTCCTTAAGTCATGATCATCAACAATCAGATATCACAGAGCAAAAATTGCTATTTCTCCGTATGGTAAGCAAGCTGACAGTCTCATTGGTAGAGAAACAAATGCATAGACTCCTAGTAACACAGTATCCTCTACTAAGTTGACATTGACCACGTCACCTATCATGATTGTTGAGAAAATGGTAATGCGTCTAATCAACCTCGCAAGCTAGATCATGAGGTGAGAGTTGCTCAACCAATGTGGTACCCTTAACTCTTGTCATATGCCTGGGGCTGGATTTCTGGACTTTAGACACTATAAATGGGGGCCCAACATTGGGTAAAAGAAGAATTGGGATAGGTCTAAGTCTAAGTCTAACTCTGGTACCATGTTAAAAACATTGATATTGAATCTAATTCAACCACAAAAGCTAGCTAATGAGGTGAGTGAGGGTAAGAATACAATAACCCATACCCTCAACCAACGTGCGACAATTTTTTAATAGGAAGGTAGAGATTTCATTACTATGCACCAAGATGTTGTAAATACGTACAGCAAAAAAAGGACTCTTAAACCCTCAATTCAACCAATGCGGGACACCGAACAATGATGAGCAGTTAAGTTGCTCGAATTCTTCACTTTCGGTGCTGCACCGTGTCAACACGATGTGGGTGTGGGATACATACCCGATCTGGTCAACCAGTTTTGGATTATTTGACCAAATTCGAGGGAGAATTCTGGACAGATCCAATTATTTCTGAAATCAAGACAAAAACTAAGGTGAAATTGCAGAAAATGGAATACCTTGTATATACAAATTTATGTTGTCACTCCCTTTTCTTTTATCTCCTTCCAGGATTCTCCTCTTGATCAATATTTTTTTCTCAAGTTTACCACATAATATCTCATAATTTAGGTTTTATAACTCTA